AGAAAAATAGGAGCCACCTTTGGAGGGAAGGAAACAGTGTTCTGTGTGCCTTTGGCGTTGAGACATGCCGGCCACATGACCATGGAGACGTCTTCGGACAGCTTTGCTGGCTCTTCGGCTTTGAAACGGAGATGAGCACCGCCCCCTAGAGTCCGGGCAGACTAGCATATGTGTGCGAGGGGAACCTTTACCTATTAAGGAGACTCTGTGAAAACTCCTTTAGTTGCCATTGGCGTGCAAACTGACCTCTTGCCATCTGTGCAATATTTTGTCGTTCCCCAGATTTGCTGGCATAGCCTGGCTGCAAATTCCTCTTCTGCAACTTGCCTTATTCCTGCAGATATCCTATCAACTCCTATGGCAGCCCCTTATCTCGCACCCATTGAAGCAACTCCAGAGAAGCGGCAACCAGCACCATTTAAGGAAACGCAATCAAGAACAAGGCCCACACGACACAAGGCAGGCAGGACCATTGACTGCTTCGAAAGGGACACCAAACCCCACTTTGTGCTAACCGAGGGATGGGATTACAGGCTGAGCTAATGAAATGCCTGTCAAGAAAAATGCCAAGCTCAGAGAATAACAAGAACCCAACAAGTGGAATTTGGGTGTCGGCAAAGTGTTCTACAATTAAAGACGATAATTATAATAAACTAGTGACGCAAATAAAGAAACATTTAGAAAGTAGGAAAAATATTCAGCTCTCACTAATGGGACATATAGCCACAGTTAAAATGAATATTTTACCAAGAATTTTATTTTTGTTGCAAGCCGCATCTATAAATCCTGGTAAAACTTTCTTTCAGGAATTAAACAAACTAACAGCTAGGTTCATCTGGCAAGGACGAAAAGTGAGGATTAAACTAAAGTCAATGCAAGACAGCAAGGAGAGAGGAGGCTTAGCATTACCAAACTGGGGGTTATACACACTAGCAGTAACAATAACCTGGGTGAAGAACTGGAGAATTAAAGAATAAAAGAATCTTGACCTTAGAAGGCCATGATCTGCAAGCAGGTTGGCATACGTTCCTATGGGAGGATAAAAATAAAACGCACAAATACTTTCAAAAACATCTAATTAGAAACGCTAAGAGTAAACCGCTTAGAGAGGGCTGAAATACCCTATGAAGCGGTATATAAGTCTAACTGCTATTGCTATTGTTTTACCAANCTTGAGCCGGTGAGATTAGAACCGCCGAACTGCAGCTAACAGTCAGCTGAAGTGGCCTGCAGTACTGCACCCTAACCACTGCGCCACCTCGGCTCCTCCAAGGTCCCTCCCAACTCTGTTATTCCATTCTATTCTTTCCCACCTTCTCCAGGATGGCCCTTCAGGTCTCTCAAGGTGAAACCCATCACCCGCAATCGAGCCCATTGACTTCGCTGCTGCCCTTTCATTCCTCCCATCTTCTTCAAGGTCCAGCTTTGCTCCCAGAGAGTGTCACACGTGGAGTTCCACGGATTGCACGATTCCGACTTTTGACAGCAGAGAGACATCAAGGCATTTGAAGGTATCTTTTCCGGACCTTCCCAATAGAGTAGATGAGCTCTACCAAATGCTAATAATCCGTGGCGTGTTTTTTGACTGTTTGCCGCTTTACTGTGATCCTCAAAGGCAGAAACAATGTACAATCTTTGTGATACCTTCGCTCTCCTTTGTGTTTCATTCGAGTCACATTTTTTTCGCTCTGCTCCTTGACTTTTATTGGCAGACTGCAGATTCTTTGCACTGTTCGTCTCTCAGAATGAGGTCATCGGCATTGCAAAGGGCATTTATCTTTCTCCTCCCCATTTTCGGCTCATCTTCCAATCCTGCCTCCCTTAACTTACTCTCGTCTGCATAGAGGTTGAATGAAGAGGAGGGTGGTGGTGGTGGGGTCAACCCTTTGCCCACCTGGAGCCAGTCTGTCTGGCCAGGCCCTGCCCGTTCTGCGGCTTCCTGATCTGCCTTCTGGGTTTCTCCCGAGGACCAGCAGATCTCCTGGGATTCCTGGTTTTTCTGAGCACACGTCACACCTCTGTGCAATCAACTGAAGGCTTCCCCAATGTCAGTGAAGCAAATGGCGGCTTCTTCCTGCTTATCCCTTGGCCTTCTCAAGTCTCCAGCCATAGCGCCTCACGCTGGCTCCCGGGCCTTTTCGGAAGCCCCTTCCCTCCCTGCAGGGCCCTGATCTGCATCCAGGGACCTTTCAGATGTTTCCATTCAAACTGCAGGAGTCCAGGGAGCCATAACACACGGCTATGGTTGATTGATAGCTCCCGCGTGAGGCCCTTTGAGCTGTGATTGGCTGCTGTGAGTGTGGAGGGGGAGTTTCCCCTTTTCCCCGCCTTTTTCTTCTGCCCTCCTCTGATTTTACCTCCGGCTGCTCCCGTTTGCCCGCCTGACTCTCTTGTCTGCTGCAAATATGGATGTGAAACGTATTGATTTATATAAAACCCTATGTTCCATTCGGCGTCTCTGACTTCATTTGAAGACCAGCCGGCAATTCCCCGGCAGGGATCCCCGGCAGGAGAAATTAAGGCGATTGAGTTAAGGAGACTAGAAGGGACACAGTGACTCAATAGCTGGGCTTGTCGATCAAAAAGGTTGGCAGTTTGAATCCCTAGCGCTGCATAATGGAGTGAGTTCCCGTGACTTGTCCCGGCTTCTGCCAACCGAGCAGTTCGAAAGCATGTAAAAATGCAAGTAGAAAAATAGGAGCCACCTTTGGAGGGAAGGAAACAGTGTTCTGTGTGCCTTTGGCGTTGAGACATGCCGGCCACATGACCATGGAGACGTCTTCGGACAGCGCTAGCTCTTTGACTTTGAAACGGAGATGAGCATTGCCCC